TATGATCTAGTTTAAGTAAACCTACATGTGCGTTTCTTGGCTAGAATTGGCAATTCTTTTAGATTTCTTTTGTTGACTAGAATTAACAATCCTTCCTAGATTTCATTGCTAATGATAGATTATATCCTAATATCGAATCTAAGATTGTCTGTCAATTAGAGAAATAATTAGGGATCGTATTCTGATATCGAACAATAGCAATCGAAATATAGAGTAGGAGAATTTATCATTGCATCCATAATCATTATAGTTGAACCATTTATATGATGAATTTTTCCTTTAGTTGAATATTGTATCTCCTTCATTTATTCCTTCATTCACTCTAATTCAGTCTCGTACCACTCTTGTTTCTGTTTAGATGAACCGAATTTTGTTTTAGGTAAACCGAACAGATCAAAACCCCCATCTTTTTTTTATTTACTTTTACTCCTCCACGAATAGTTTTATTATTAATTTTGACACTCATCATGGTATACTTGATACTTCTGAATTTATTCCTATATAATAGAGATAAGAAAAAAATACAATAATAGTATGTCATTTTCCCGCTCATTTTTTCAGTTTATACGATTAATGGAATGATTATTTGAAATCTTTGGGATTCTCCTGCCCGTCATATTTTTTCAATTTAGAAATAAATTCCAAATCACCATATCTATACATATAATAAGAATAAGGTTATATCATATTTATCCCAAATTTTAAGCACTTTACCACTTTTATGTACCCAAATTTCGGCATAAAGTACTAATTTAGCCTTGACAATTAATTTATGTTGAAATGTTGTCTGATTAATTAATAAATACTGCAAAACTTTATAAAGGTCATGGGTTAAAGGTTCAAGTTTTCCCAAAGGTTCAAGTTTTTTCCATCAGTGATTAATATTTTATTAATAATAAGCATGGGTTAAAAAGTTCAACTATGAGTTTATTTATTTATTAATATTAAAATAAAAAAAACTCAAGATATTATTTATTTATTTAAATTATGAAATGAATCTTGGTTTGTTTAATGTTAATTTTATTTTCAAATAATAATTACTAGTGCAATACCCGTGTATTACACGGGTGTTGAATTAGAAAAGTTTTTGTAAAAAATATTATTTTTTTATTTTTTAAAAATTAAAATAATTTAATTTTATATAAAACACTACTTTGGGTTTTAATTAAATTGTCAAATTATATTTTTTTAATCATAATAAGTAAACACCTGTACATTAAATAAAAATGTCAACCCGTTTTGAATTTGTTTACTTATAAAGTATAATAATAACGATATTATTTACTATTACATAAGCAAAAAAATATATATCCTAAGTAAATAGAAATATTATGGTGATATGTATATGCATAAGTGTAGAATATGTTTATTTAATATTATGAAAAATATTAATTGATAAATAATTTTATTTTCTAATTAATTGTAATAAATAATTTTATTATTATTATAAAGATATATATAATTTAATTATTTTATATATACAATATGTATATGAAAATGTCAACCCGTGTTGAATTTTTTTACTTATATCATAATAATATCGATATTATTCACTATTACATAAGTACAAAAATATATATCTTAAGTAAATAGAAATATTATGGTGATATGTATATGCATAAGTGTAGAATATGTTTATTTAATATTAAGCAAAATATTAATTGATAAATAATTTCATTTTCTAATTAATTTTAATAGATAATTTTATTATTATTATAAAGATAAATATAATATGTTTATTTTATATATACAATATGGATGTCAAATCGAAGCTCATCAAAAGATGATTAATTTGATATATTATATATGTAAAACCGATAAGAAATACAAAAGTTATCAACTTTTAAAATATATTTGCAATTCAATGGTTATAATAAGAAATGATATTAAAATACAATTAATACAAATTATTAATTTATATCTAAGCCTAACTCCAAAGCATGATTTTTTGCCAAATAGAATTCCAAAACATGAGAATTTGCCACGTAGACTCAGCGCATTCTGAAATTATATATAGAGGGGATAAACCATTTTACCCTTTCTCACTTTTTATATTTTAAGGTATAATCTGTATTATTTTAATCAAAATGGAAATTTAATTTAATTTAATTTAATTAATAACATCAAATTTGATTACTTTCTAAGCATTTATATAAAAAGGTATTTAGTAAGTTAATAATTACAATAGATTTTTCCAAATCAATTCTTTGTTTTTACAAAACATATATTTTCAAATCAGACCTATAACACTATCCAGAGGTGAA